ATCGTCAAGCTAAACGCTCACATTCTTATTTGTAAATCTCTAAAATATACCACCAAACTGCTTGCAACTCAAATCTACATAAATTGTAGAATGAACGAACATCTAGCAAAAAGAGGCTGGAAGGAAAGAAGGGAATTAATTAATACTGCGTTAGTAAAACTTAAACATAAATTTCACAATATGGCCTAAATTATACTAGCAGCATTGTGAAATATTTTCCGGTTGGCCATATGTAGAATATATTTCCCTTTGGTTACATGTTAAACGGTAGACTGAACAACGGCAAACAATAGCAACCACAATCAGATAATGCTTATTTCGATGAGTGCAATACGCTGCTTTTGAAAGTTGAGAGCACAAAGTCTCTTCTGTAGCATTTAAAAATATGTCGAGAGCGTGAAATTTTAAGTTCATTTGTCAGTCATCTGTTAGGGCAATGCTCGGGTTTAGACAAGAGAGCCTTTGGAAACCCAAATTGGTCTCCATTATGGATCTATAAATAATCTGATATAACGTTGTTCAGAATGAGAGATCATTTGCTATCACTGTAGGTGATTCGTTCTATTTTAATAAATGATAGTAACCTAGGCCAGTTGCAGTAAATCTGTACTTTGAAGATAATAAAACTTAGAAAATGGACTTAACAGCTCAGTTCCAAAATCTAGATATGGTTGAACATTTATAGCTTCAAACTTGGACAGTGTATGTTTTTCTTTCTGTCTTTCAGATCCCTGAATGCACTGCAGTTGTAGATAAAATATGCGTGTCAGTCTATTTTCAAACAACATTCCTGATAAATTTATTGAAAGCATGAAAAGGAGGTCGTAAGCTTGCATTGACAACAGGAATAGACTTATTTTTTAGTAAAATGACCTTCTTTCACTCGATTTTGCAGAAATCTTAATCACAAATTTATTTACAGTGGTTATATTTTTATGTTTGCAAGAAGCGCTTAAACCACGGAAAGTATGCAGATTTCTTAAAATAAAAATGTTTATAGTATTGAATATCTTTCGTAACATCATCTCATTCCAAAACGTTCCTCAAGCAAATAAAATTGCATTTTTTCATGAAACTGTTAGATACATAATTTGCGCTTGAGCTCTTGTGTCATAGTTGAGAAATATTTTGTAGTTACCTACGTAGCTGAAAATCAATATACAGTGAAGTATTTATATTGAAGATAAACAGAAGCCTGTTTTTTGAATTATAACTCCATAACAGATAATTTTACTCTTCCCAGGTCGTTACGAATATGTGATTTTTTTCAGCTTTCTTGAATTCTTTTGATGATGCATAAAGAAATACTCAAAGACTTTGAACTTTTCCCCACTTATAGAATTTTTAGGAAAAGCAGTTTTAAAAGAACTTTTTTCCATTAAAAATATATTCTCCAAAAGAAAATTCAAAACATCTCCAGTAACAACTTAGAGTGTGATTCAAAGATAAAAACATATTTTTTTTATCAAAAAACTATGCAGCTTGAAGTTGTTTCGTAGGTTTTTCGTTCACTGTGTGGACACAAGTTACAAAAGCTAAATCACTGCTTTTACTTAACAATTCAATCTTGATTTTTCAGAAGTTATTTGAGGAAGTGGTAGTGTTTTTTAAAATAGAATTGTTCTGTAGGCCATTTAAACTTATCCACGTAAAACCCAATGCATAATCAATTTCTTTCACTCATTTACTGTATGCGTTAGTTTGACATTTATGATTTTCATGTGCTGTCATGTCAATTGTTTAAAACAAATCTATTAATTATTATACGCATGTTTTGGTAATTTGTGCGAGGATCTTAACAACATTTTTCTTTATCTTGTAATATTAAGATGAAGATACCTTACCACTTCTATTCTTCTATACACTTTTAATGTTTTTAAAGCATGTTTTTATTTTACAATGACAAAATGTTAGTTAGGAAAATTACCTACAAATGTTATTTTAAAAGGACTTTTCTCTCAAGAAATTTATTTTAGGCCTTGCAATGATAAAAAGAAAACATTTTACCTACCGGTAAAATACATTTTTTGAATTTCCAACGATATCAAATAATTACTTTATTTCCAAAGGTTAGAATTATTTGAAATATTTCGTCTTGAAACATTTTTGCCCTACGTATTCCTCTCTAATTATAGCGACAGTTAAGCTTTAGAAGTACAATGCACTTGAAGGTTATAGTTTGTTAAACATAATCCAGAGTATGAAAATTATTTTCGATCTGCAAATATTTATTCAGAACAAAAATATTTTCAATGTGAAGATAATTTGTTAGTTATTTGAAATGAGAAAAATGAAATGATACGACCAATGTATCATGCAATATTGTGAATATTCTTTTGAAAAATTAATTTATAGATTGATAACTATTTACAGACAGGTATTTTTTTTTTGAAAAATCTTTTAACAGAAACCTTTATTGGTGATAGATGACTATTAAATAAGAGAACCATATTTTTTCATAATTTCGAAAATCTTAAAAAAAAAAAGTCTTTTTTTCATAACTTATAGAGTTTCACCTTATAAAATGCCAAGACTATCGAAATCTTAAAGATAGTCAGAAGACTTAACATTCCGTCTACCTTTTTACTACACGTGTCGCAAAAGTGAACCACTGGTCATAACATTGTCATAACTAAACACCATCTCGAAAAATCCGTCTTGGATTCAAACCCCACTGACAAGTTGCATAGTAATTTGGGGGGCATCTTTGTAACGTAACTATCAACTAGTTTCCGGAAGAAAATTCTCAGCGAAAGTATTCATTGCCTTAATCAGATATTTTTAGTCTGCATTGCAATAATCAATCCATTTATTAAACCGTAAACTTAACTCTTGGTTTCTACATCTTACTTTTACGTATTTTTTGTCCGCAGTGGCTGCTTCCATCCGTTGCAATAAGTATTAAAGCACGCAATTTTTTTCCTGCACAAGCAAAAATCTTAGAAATTTCTGCCTCAGTATTATATTATTACATTAACAATATCCTCCAGAAAGAAATAGCACTGTAGCCTCTGAATTTTCAGCGTTGTGTTTGTGCTGAAGATCAAGGGACTGCCAGTAGACAGATAGCAACTTTCGATTTAAGCACTGAGGAAATTGCCATTCAGGTCTTTGCCTGACATGTGTTGTTGTCGTGATTTATCTATTTGTTTGACAGTATCATCAGCACACGCCCAAGAAATTCATCATGGCAAAGAGTACAAGATTGCTCCTGTCGTTGGCAAGAGCATTGAGCACCATACAGCACCATACATACTTGAGCACGTTGGCAAGAGCCTTGAGTACGACTTTTCTCAGTTTTGTCCCCAGTTTTAGTGGAGAGCATCTCGGGGAGGATGTGCCCGAGGTCTCCCACCTCTCTTTCCCTACCACCAACCTCCAGAGAGTACTTTTGGAGAGTACGTGCTATATTTTGAGTGCCCCCCATGTCGTACAGACATTATACATTTACAAACATCCCTACCTTCTCCAGGATTCGAACCCTGGCCTTTCGGTACGGCAGCCGTTGCTAACCACTATCTCGGCTGGACAGCTCACTCGGACATCTACGAAACGTCACGTTGTCGCACCATTTTCTAACATTTTGGTCAATATATTCGCTGCGTTCAGCATTTAGTAGGTAAGTGTTATATAGGTCTGTGCAATTCTACGGCATTTTCATTAGATGACCCTGTAAATGGAGATGGAATCATGTAAATGGGAGATGGATTCCTGCCAGTTTTTATATTATTCCTTTATTTTATTTTTCCTCTTGTTTTCAAATAAAATAATTTAAAAATTAAAAAGCATGTATTATTATCTTGTTTCAAAGTACAGGAAATTTAATTTTGCAACATCTTATAAAATGTGGAATCTGAATCGAATAAGTCTGTTCAGATCTCTTCACATATATATCATGAGAGTTTTATTTAATGTTATTTTAAGGTTAATGAGAAGTTTAGGGTGTTCTACTTAGATGCATAATAAAAGAAAATGCGCCAAGGGCATACTATAAATCATAAATCATCACAATTCCACAAATGGGCAACAATAAAAGGCTATGAACTTAACTATTAAAGTCCCTTGTACGATTGTGGGTATCACAAATCAAAGTTCATAGTTTTCAATCCTTGAGCTGAGGTAGATTATCGATTAGACATTATCAATCGTATATAGTAATGTTGTAATATATTTGATAAACAAAAAGAAAAACTTTCTTAAATATTTGCACTTAAAAAATAAATATGCTTTCTAAATTGTGATCAATTTAGAATGAAAGTTTATTCCTTTTTTTAAAAAAATAAAGCAGCTGGGTACTTTAATAATACTCCATCAATGCTGGAAAGCATTACCACTAAACCATACAGCGTAATTTTTTAGCAAAAGGAGAGCTTTTCTAAAAATGCTTGACACATTTATGGATCTCAAATGTATTTGCAATTCATGACTTTTACAAAAAGAAAAAAGCAAGCATTGCTTGAACAACAAGTGTTATTACCACAAAATAACAAGATATCTTATATTTCTTATATTATCTCGCATTAAACTTTGTTTCTAATAATGCAAGTTTTGCGAATTATTAGTTAAGCAGAATCTTTTACATTAAATGTGATCCTCATAGTTTGAAATATATCGCCAAGAAATTTTAATAAGAGATGTCAAAACTTAAGAATGGGAATTCGTAATAATCCCTAGGAAATAAATTTGCATTTGAACCTGTCCTTTCGATGACAGCAATGGCTTTAATTCTGATTTCCCCAAGCTTGCGAGACGCTTAAGAATACTGGCATGATAGCTTCAATGGTCTTACGCGTTTTACCAATGAATTAATTGTATACACGTCAGAACTAGCCTTCCTAAAAATCCTGTAGTAGAATATGGACTATGGTCTATTAGATTTCGTACTTTCAGGAGTGATTTATTCTCTGAGTATTAAACAAGCATTAATATTTTAATAGGATGCTTCTACTTTCAGAAATGGCTAAACTTTTAATCCAAACTGTTTCTTTTCTTATTTACAGACTGACATTGTTATTATCATGTGCCATGAAATTTGAATCTTACCCGCACGATACTCAGACATGCACCATGAAGATAGAAAGTTGTAAGTAGCATATTCTGTATCCTAGAATAGGGGAAAAAAATCTGATTTTATTTAAAATGCATGTAGACCCTTTTTCTAAAATTTGTTTTAATCATTATCTTTATATTTGCATGTATCTATAACTTTTACTTTTTAATGTATCTTATCAAATAAAGTTGATTTGAAAACATTTAGCTGTGTGTTAGGGTGCCTTGGGCTGATGTGAAAATGTAAGATATTAAAATAAGCTACTGTGATATTATTACAAATGAAAGGCAATTGTTTTACATTAATTGTTAATCAACCTAAATCTGATATGCTGTTCTATAATGTCATAGGAAATATATCGAATTCAGTGTATTTTCTATAAGTAAATAAATAATCTTGTGAAAACTGAGATGGCAACTAGATTGAAGTTATCCAATCTACTTGTCAAATCTGTCTCTATTCAATCAAAATCGTAAAAACAACCTTGTATTTAGCGTAAGTATATTGAAACACTCAATCGATTTCGAGGGCAGCTAAAGGTCCCTCCTCATCAGGAGAAGGAACTCCTAGAAAGAAGAAAAATAAAGGGGAAGGAGTCTCAGAAACACGTGGTCCTTATCACGTGGTCTTTTCCTTTCTCCTGATGAGGAGGGACCTTTAGCTGCCCTCGAAATCGATTGTTTCAATATACTTACGCTAAATACAAGGTTACGATTTTGATTGTCACATTAGCGTGTTTCTCTTCTAGTCCTGTCTCTATTCTTTAATATAACTTAAAGGATCTTATTACTAATCATGCAACTTCTAATTTATGGTGCCTTCTGTCACATATTTCCTTCCAAACTTTTCTTTTTTTTTTTTTCAGGACTGCTCGGAATGCTTTAGTTATTAGAGGAAGATAACATTTTTCCTCATATCTCGCAGCTAATATGCATATTTCCAAAAACTGTTAAATTTCGAAGCATGCATTTGCTATTTAATTGAAACTAAATAAAATGGATTAATATTTATCTAAGCAATATACAATAAAACTGGCCCACTTTTATAAACATATATACATTATTTTCCATAGTACAGGTATTTTTATATTTATTAGTTAGATTTCTGTTTTCATTATATTCAATACAGAATTTTAAGTGTAAAATTCATGTATGTAATATTATAGACCTACAGTGTCCATTATCCGAACCTCTTAGACTATATCACAGTTCGCATAAGATAACGTTCAGATAATTGGACTTAATCGTAAATTTATTCAAGTCCTGCACAAAATCTCGTAGTTTGCACGAGACAATCATGCCGATTGCTGCTTTCCACCACTTTACATCGCTTTTTTTGGAAAAATTTTAATTAATTTCACAGAGACAGAAATTAAACATGCGTGCAATTACAGGTATAGATACGAAATTAAATGAGTTTCTTGCTGCTCCAATCACTTTATAGCTGCTTTTGAACGAGCTATAAAACCGAAAGAAAATTCATGAAGAGAGTATCCAGATATGGAATAACTTGTTTGATCGTATTCAGTGGTTAATCTGGTTTTTGTATCACATTGTCAGTGTCAAACAAAGCTTTTTCTCAGAAATATAACTGAGTGTACAAGGAAGGCTTCTCTTAAGCAACGTTGTGATATTGGCCGAAATGTTATTCAGCTTAATAAGAAGTTACTAAATTCATTCGTTTGCGCTTCATTTCAAATTATTTACATAGATTGCTGATGTAGTATATAGGTGCAATTACAGTGCAGTAATATGCCGATTTGGTAAGAAATTGTGATCATAGTTTAGATAGAGTTAGTTAGATCGTTTAGATAGAGTGTTGTGAGAACACAGAATTCTCACAGGGAACAATATGTCCTCATCGATGCTTGAATCGTTATCGCGTACTACCACTTGCGTCGCAGTGTATAAAAACTGGACTGGTTTGTCTTCCCCTTTCTGCCTGACGTCGTGTTAACGAGTATGTAGCTTCGGGCCACACACACTCAGCTCTCGCCATCGTTCCTGCATATTTTCACGTGGAATGTCGTCGTATTATGCATAGAAAGAAGCTGAGTTATGAGATGTAATATCTAGAGGAAAATGCTTGGTTTGCGACTCACTACGTCCTGCTGTCGTGAATAACGTAACAAAAACGCTCAAGCAGATTATCAATAGGTGTTCGACTCCAAGATGTGCTTGACCAGCGATGGGTCACCACGTGATGATAAGTGTGTTAAAAAAACAGTGAGTGTGAAAAAAGAAGAGTTTGCACGTGTGTAATAAGACTGTGCGACAATACGAAAATGAAGTATGAGAAAATTTCGACTGCAGATATATCCGATGAGACAGGATTGCAGTTTATCTACGAATAGTCACGTTTCGGCATTCACCGACCATTCCATTTTAATTTATCACGTTTTGTGTATCTAAGTTATGATATTTTGATATTTTATGTGAGTGTGATAAATGTTCCATATTTAATCCAGAAAATGTGTTTGATAATATAAATGTGAAATTAGAAAAAGAGAGTTACCGACTCATGCATGCCTTATTGAGTAAGTCATTTGATTCTTATTAGTAAAGAGCATGCAATGTACTAACCACTAAATTTTAGTTTAACTATTTGCGCGGAATTAATTTGTATTTGATACTCTTAGTATCGTTACTTTTAGGCGGTCACGCCAACAACACCACAAGTGTGCCTAAAACACTCTATCTAAACTAGTGCCTAAAACTTCACAGGCATTAGGTTTATTCCTTAGCAGGAAACATGGAAAATCAAGGATGCTCTCGCAATGATTTAACTCTGAATCTTCCGATACTAGCCGGATGTGCTTCTTTAAACTACTAAGGCATGCTGCAATGAGAAAACTCCTTACTTTATACTCCATTTAATGGACAATTGGGGAGACGGAGAACCAGTCGCCATATCTAGGTTGTGACGAGATACCATCCACTAATTGTACAGTCATAATATTTATTGAAGCAGTAAATCAGCAATGGCGTCGCCAGGATTCGGATTCCGGATCTCCTGGCTGCTCGTCGGACCTGCTGTCAATTAACGATGAAGTCATATGGTGAGAAAGGAAAAAAATTCTCACTAACTGTGTAATAGAATACAGTTGGTCCAGGTATTTCACTGGATGTAAACAAACCTGCAATATTTTTTTTCAATGTGTCTACTTCTTTTAATATTCCTGGGACTCTTCCTTTTACCGCCGTTACTTGATCTTATTAATCGGACTTCCTCTAAGTAACATTCGCCAAACTCTACCCTAAGATATTAAAATAGATGCTGTTCGAAAGTTATCCACATAATTTCGCTAAATTGTAAAGACTGGTAGATATAGCGAAATAACCATATTTTGTAATAAAATGTTCATGCGAAAATGAGGTGTTGATGTACCCAAGTAGCACGGTGATATTCAGTTTTACGTTTATTAAAATTTTTATTTACACATTTTTATTTTTATTATTTTAACTTCATTTTTATTTAACACAACTATATATTTCAAACAGAATTTAAAAAAATATTTATCTAGTTCTAAAAGATATCATGATATCTTGGTGACTTAAATTTCCAAGGCACTCTGTAATAACTTAATGACGTAGCAATCTTCTTATAACCTCGAAATTTAAAAATCATTGCACATGTTTGAATTATATTTTATTCCACAAGTAATGTGCTTCACTGAGCGCACATATGAATTTGTTCACGTTCGCCAGGTACACATGCAAAAAAATGGCACTCATTATTGATGATCTCAGCTGGTTATTAGAAAGATTCCAAATAAGTTCTCAAGAACTGCTGATTAACACAGGAAAGCTCATATTTGTAAACAGAAAAGTGTGTGTTTATCACAGAAAAGCTCATATTTGTAAATGCGAGAGACGTCTCATTAGACATGCAAAAATTAAAACTGATAAAAATGGCACAGACTGAATCCTAATCAGAATTATAATGTAAATTAGCAACAGCAACCCTTAATTCTCATATTAGTTTGGGAATTTTCCCTCTCTATTCTAAAAATAGAAATTCTTTACAATTTTTTCTGGGGTGCGTCGGGGAACTGCATACAGAAGGATTAATGAAGAAGACCTTTATGCCAGGAAGCTAAGACTGTGTGTTTCAGTGTTTTCCACATCAAAATAAGGATTCCTATGATGTGTGGAAAAAAAATCATCAGAACTGGAATAAACACGAGTGGTCTCATGTTCGTTTTACTGATGAGTCAAGGTTTAGTTTAATATTTGATTCTAAATGTTTTCACATCTGGAGAGAGTCAGAAAAGCGAAATCTTCCTTCGAACATTATGGAACGTGACCCTTTTGGTAGATCAGGTGTGAAGGTAGAGGAATAAAAAATGCTCGACAGACGTACGCCCCTACACGTTTTCATCAGCTGATCTGTGACCAGTTAAGATATCGGAACTGAGATGAGATCTTAGAATCTTATGTAACCTTTTCAAAGATGCTTATGGATCTGACATTTTATTAAACATATTGACGATTATGTTCTTCCACACTGAGCAAACCTCAGTTACGAATTTTTTTAAAGTGAAGATAGACAGATACTGAATGAATACAGTGATTCACAAAATCTTCTAATCTCCTAAAATCGCTGAACTCTAATGATTCGACATGGGATGAAATCTTAGCGAATAAACTAGCTACATGGTTGTTTTTTGTGGTTTCCTTTGTGTGTGGTTTTAGAACTTCATGTAACATTTCTCAGCTGCATATGGATATGAATTTTTTTCCATGGACGGTAATGTTCTTTGTCATCGAGCAAACCTCGTTCATGAATTCTTTGAAAGTCAAGAATTTGATCCAATACCATGGGCAGCAAAAGTTCCTCATCTTAACCCATACAGTACTTACGGGACTACCATGGAAATGTAGTTACACGGAAACATCCTTCCCCTAGAGATGTAAATGCACTGAAGACCTTATTAATAGAGGAATGGAACTTAATTTTCTAAACTGTGGTTAGCAACGTTATTGCCAGCATGAAAGCAGTTGCGATATATGTATACAAATCAGGGAAGATCA